CTTCTTCTTCTTCTTCTTCTTCTTCTTCTTCTTCTTCTCCTTCTCCTTCTTTTTCTTCTTCTTCTTCTTCTTGTCTACTCGGGTCGTCAATTGTCTGTCGGGTGGTTGGCGGGTGCTCTGGTGTTGTCTGCTTCTTCTTTCCTATCAAACATCTATCGTCCTTTTCTCCCCTTCTTCTTCTTAATGTTTGTTACTCTCTTGTAACACCTCTGATCTTCTGGCGCTCATATGACCTTATGCAGTTGCGAGCGCCGTAAAACCTCTACTAAAATAAAAACAATTGTCTGTTGTCTGCTGTCCTTTCGTGCCGTCATTCGAACAACAACAGCTTGAGCGTCCCTTTCATTTGTTTTCTAATTGAGGTGTTTCCACACCCCCATCAACACTATTTAGATCAATAAGAAAGCAGGCCTCTGTCCCTGCCTGTTCGTGGGGGCCAATCCTAGTTGAGATGGACACACCTCAGAGTATCTGATAGTTCCTTCGGGGACGGAAGTTTAACTCGGAGGTCATGCCTCTTAAATAACTTAATAATGTTGATAGGGGCATTAAACTCGGAGGTCTTTCCTCTTAGACTTGTACCATTATGCCACTTTTTCCACAGATCAGTTTTGATGACTACTGCCCCCCATCGTTTACAGCACTGGAAATTCTGAACAATCCCGGAGAGATCAACCTGTTAGTTCCTGTCATATATAGCACGCTATGTCCCATCTACCTGTCAGATATAGCATGTTATGTCCTATCTACCTGTCAGATATACGATAATGTCCCATCTATCTGTCAGATATAGCATGTTATGTCCCATCTACCTGTCAGATATACGATAGTGTCCCATCTATAATCTACCTGTCATATTTAGCACGCTATGTCCCATCTACCTGTCAGATATAGCATGTTGTGTCCCATCTATAATCTACCTGTCAGATATAGCACGTTATGTCCCATCTATATATATAATCTACATGTCAGATATAGCACGTTATGTCCCATCTATAATCTACATGTCAGATATAGCATGTTGTGTCCCATCTACCTGTCAGATATACAATAATGTCCCATCTATAATCTACCTGTCATATTTAGCACGCTATGTCCCATCTACCTGTCAGATATAGCATGTTATGTCCTATCTATAATCTACCTGTCAGATATAGCATGTTGTGTCCCATCTATAATCTACCTGTCAGATATAACACACTATGTCCCATATACCTGTCAGATATAGCACGTTATGTCATATAAACCTGCCAGATATAGTATAGTATGCCGCACTAACCTGTCAGATATTGCACGTTATGTCATAAAAACCTGTCAGATATAGCACTTTATGTCATATCATACTGTCAGATATAGCACGTTATGTCCCATCTTCCTGTCACATACAGCACGTGATGTCATATAAACCTGTGAGATATAGTACATTATGTCATATTAACCTGTCAAATATAGCACGTTATGCTCCATCTACCTGTCAGAGATGGTATTCACCTTTAAGGTTATACCTAGATTGTTAGTATAAGAACGTATAGGGTTATACCAATAGCTCCATATCCCCCAAAAACTGACGAGCTACCTTAAGGCCCGGTTACACGTAACGATAAATTGTACAAAAACTGGACGATCTATCGATCATACGATTTATCGTTAGGTGTAACCACAAAATTGTACAAAATTTGGACGATTGGACGATGATTTAGAGACTCGGTCCAGAAATCAAGCGCTGCTTGATATTTTTCGTGCGATCGCGGTCAGGTTAAAGGGAGACGCGCTGTGACGTAGATTCACTTTGAAATTTGCCGCCTCGCAGAACTAAACTGAAGGCTCAATTAAAAAAAAAAAATAATCGTAGGTAAAAACTGATTTCATTATATTCGGAATCAGCGTCTCAAAATAAACAAAGTTTCTCGCGTAGAACCTGATTTGGTGCATCATTATGTATATTGTAGTCATTTTACTATTTTGTTGATCATCAATGGTGAAGTGCATCAAGGTCACTCGGTGCGCTGCACATCTGCTGTCAAGTTAAAGCTTCTATTTCTACACACAACACTGTACAGTATTGCCACCCTTTTCTAAAGACACTGTTCTGCTATATCAAAATGTACAGGGGAGGGGGAGGCGGGCTCTCGTGATCTAAAGGTACAGTGGTGGCCTTTCATCCAGAGCTCGAAACCTTCACATAGAGTGCAGGGAAGTCGCTGTCGTCGCAAAGAGACATGGTGGCTTTATGACGAGGAATCTCCTCGATCGAAAGAAAACTGGACGATAGATTGGAACGTGTAAACAGACAACACAGTTCGATAAAACGGACAGTTCTCGCTTTCGACGAATCTGATACATTTTATCGTTGCGTGTAACCGAGGTTTTAAAATTACAAAGTTCTATCTAACAATTATTTTGGCCGTTTTGAGTTACTAAGACCATAAGGTCAGAAACAAATTTTGTATCTGCTCTATCAAAATCGTGACATAATTAGGAGTCGTTATCAAAATATTCAAATTGCATTCGAAAAAGCTCTACACGTGGTAAAATAATTATTTACGTCCAATTTCTCAGC